AGCTGGTGGGTTTGAATCCAACCTGGGCCTGCCAAACAATAATGACAACTACAACCAAAAAATAGCTGGGTGTTGTGGTGGGCACCTGTAATCCCAGCTACTTGGGAGGCTGAGGCAAGAGACTTGCTTAAGCCCAAGAGTTTCAAGTCGCTGTGAGCTGTGACACCACGGCACTCTACCAAGGGCAACAGCTTGAGACTCTGTCTCAAAAAAAAAAAAATCTGCAATCTTTAAGTAGACATTTGGCAATTTTGTCAATGACTTGCAACCCAGCTTTTAGTTTAGAACCCAAATGGACAGGTTTTAAGGAAGCTGGCAATGTCCAGGAAAGTCAGTAGCGCCATAAATTTTTAAAACCATTTCCACGTCTGTTTTTTTTTTTTTTTTGACCTGGCCAGCTATTTGAGGGTTGCATGATTTGGATGGATAGAGTATGTTACCATGGCAATGTTCTCCCCACGCAGGAAGGCCCCAGGGGTTGATCCTATACAACTGACCATGTGTTTTTCATGGCTTTTCCCATGGGGTGCTTCAGGGTTTCATTCCATCACTCCTGCTAAGCATTTCTGGGAAGCTTGAATAGTCAGGAGACTCCAGGTCTCTTCTTGACCCAGCGTATAGATCAAGTGAACTTCCTTTGTCAATCCAGTGCCCAGCTTGGGTAGGGCAATGGATTAGGTTAAGCTAACGCTAACTTAGATACTGGCCAGAAGGGGGTTGGCAGGAGCATCCCAAGGTTTGGGGGAAGGTGCTTTCTGGTCCCTTAATGAGCAGCTCTTGCCTTGTAGCGCCGTGTCTGGATTCTCAGCTAAGGTAGGCATACCTCTCATGCAGCATTTAGCATGAAGGTTATTACCTCTATGAATGCAGGGCATGGCAGAGGTGTCTGTGGCACGTGACTAGTGTCAGATCCCTTTGTTACTGTCTTCTCAGGGCTGTCCTTGGAGGTCATGCAGCTATCCTGGTGTTCTGCCCTTAGGGTATAGCACAGTAGAGTCCAGGTGGTCACAGCTTACCAGCGGACAGTTCAAGGTGTGGTTCTGCAGACCCTGAATTCTGGTTGCTACAGGCCCTCTCCTTTCCTGTGTAAATCTCTGCCATAGAGACCAGTGGGTTACAGGATCCATGTCTGAACACCAGGGGAGACAGTGATCAATTTTTAAAGAGGGAGCTACTGAAAATTGCTTTCCTGAAGAATTTCTCTGGGATAATTTTGTGTCACGTTGGACAAGGTGCAAAGCTGTTGTTTACCCATGTCTGCCTAAGAATGGAGGTGGGAGGCTGGAATAGAGACAGGGCAGGCACTAGGCAACGTGTTTGTTGTTTTATCTGGGTCGGTTAGTTACATTTTGACTTTAGGAAAGCCTATTCCAAGTTTATGGGACAGCCTAAGCATGTTATTGAGGAATTAAATAAGACTATGAATCTCAAGGGGGGAGGACTAAAAAAAAAAAAAAAAAAGACTATGAATCTCTTCTGATGGCAGGTACCAAGGGGGACCTATTTTGTAACCTGAGTAGATCAGAGGGAGAGAACATCAGAGCAGATTCCTAAACACCTAAAGTCCAGTATCAGCAAAGAGATTAACATTTACCAAGATTGTATGTGCCAGATACTTGATCCTTGGACTATCCGAGGACTTTTTAGGTCCATTTTACAGATGAAGAAACTAGAAATAAAGAAGTGATAGACCTGTCTAAGGTCACCAAGCTGGTGGGGTGTTCCATCTCCCTATATAAAATATCATCTCTTCATCAGATTATTTTCTTTCCCCATGCTTTCTCACCAAATTATATGTCCTTCTTTTTTCTAGAAATATCTGTGTTCTAGCCTGAAACAATCTTATAAGCAGGGAAGTCTATTGGTTTCTAAGTAGCTAAACTCATCACTATGCTCCTGGATTCAGATTATGATCAAAATGTGATAGAATTGGGCAGCACCTGTGGCTCAAAGGGGTAGGACGCCATCCCATATGCCGG